TAGCCCACCGCGAGGGTCGAACTCGCAGCCTTCAGATAATCGAACCCGCCTGGTAAGAGTCTGACGCTCTATCCGATTGAGCTAGGCGGGCTATGCATTTGAATTAATAACTAAACATATAACCTGATTGGCCTAGCGGACCTATCATGCAAACTCTCCCAGTCGATGCTCGCTGCTTTCGTCGTTTTAAACACTCATGGGTCGCGTTCAACATGTCCCCATATAGCCGTGCCCCCTTTCACAAAGCCGATTCAACGCTACACTCGTCCATCTCAGCTTGATTTCAGCTCGAAGAGACAACGACGTTGGTATCCGGCGGAGATTCGCCGGGCGGCGGTGACACAAGTGCAACTGATTGCTCCTCTGGAACCGTATTACCCGTCGCACCCCGTATACGCAGTCATCTGTGCCTCACGTTGTGGGCGCTCGTATGCGCGCGTCTTCATCTCGGCGTAGACGATGCCTCACTAGGTGTTCCCTCCAGAGACGACCCGCAACTCATGTCGGCTGCTCCTACGTACACCGTCGCATCGTCGCTCCGATGGAAATGGAACCTACCGCAACTTCGCGTAGCAATTGTCTACACGACCCTGCAGCCAGGTCTAAATACACGGCTTCGTCCACCGACGATCCTCAAGGCGTGGGATCCTTCCCATGTTGACTGAGCTGTACAAACGATGCCCGATGACGCGTGCTCTCAATACACTTCTCCCTCGTTCGAGGATGCCGTGATTGGCCATAGTGGGTTTTAAGGGGTGAGAGCGACGATCCATGCGGAACGAAGAGCGACGCATCTCTCGCAGTGGCACGTCCGCGAGCTTCTAGCACTCTGCGTACTAGGGCGCTTGCGAGTGTATAAGAAGCATAGCATTCCGATGAAAGCCGCCTTGTACACCGGTCCTTGCGATGTCCTCGTCCATGACTCTCCGGCGTCCTATCTTCCTGGAAGATGTTCAACCTCGGCCACGTATCCTCCGAGGCTGGCAGCGCCTCCGGCACCGACGAGCTAGTTGGCTAGTTGAGTGTCTGGCTGAGTTCGTACGTGCTTTGATTTCTCGAGACTCATTTATCTTTGTCTAATTTGTCTCATAGTGGGCAGTCTTTGTCTACACCTATCTCGGTGAGCCGCTTTGATTGTGCTGTCGGCCATCATACTGAAGCGCATCGCACAGGTTCTGGGGCTACCGCGGCATATATCACCGGCAATATTCTTGGAACGGTCAATCTGGGATCATATTTCTCGATTGCTTTAGCCTACGCTGTAGGCGTCGCTTTTAGTCTTATCATGGCCACCCCCACCTCAGGCGGGCATATCAACTGCGGTGTCACGATCAATCTCGTCGTATTCCAAGGCTTCCCCAAGTTGAAAGCCCTTCGGTATGTTTCGAACGATGTTCAGTCTGCGATCAGGTGACTGAAGATGAGTTTCAGGTATATCGCAGCCCAGCTTCTAGGGGGATATGTCGCGTGTTTGCTCGTCTACGTACAATGGTACGATACCATCAAGGTACTTCAGTGGCGAAGATCTCGCTAGATGGGCGTCCTGACATAAACTTTAAGCAATCCGAAGCCGTGCTTGCTGCAGCTGGTACATTGGAATCGACGATGTTCACGGGCAGCGGACCTGCAGGCATCCTGACCTTCTTCGCGCCTGCGGGCGCCAATCTTGGCCGGGTGTTTCTCAACGAACTTGTTACGGACTTCTTCATTGGGATGGTCATTTGGACAGCGGTAAGCATGTTCATTCCCACCATACCGTACCGGCTGAACACCGTCTAGATTGACCCAACAAGCTTTGCTATGACACCGGCTGTTGCTCCTTGGGCTATTGGGCTTGGCTTGTATGTGCAGTTTCAAACTGCTTTCAGTTACTGTCTGATGCATTCTTCAGTGGCATCGCCATCTGGTGCTTTGGCCCGTGCGGACGTGAGCTGGTGCATCATATCTCGAGGTGTATACGCTGAAAAAACCTTAGTCGGCGCCAATACTGCGCGCGATGTACCGGGTCGCCTCGCTGCTTTGACCTTGTGGGGTGCTCGGGCGGGCGGTGGTCCCTTTGCAGCGATTAGCGCTTTGACGAACATCGTCTCTTATGGATGTGCATACGTGTTCTACGAACTTGTACTCAAGGACTCGAGTAGAGGTGCGAGACACCTTGCATTGACAGTGAATGGAATAGCTGACGTGAGGTTGACGCGCTGTAGCACTGACATCGGCGCACAAGGAAGTCATAGCTGCACGCGTTATGCAAAATGAATATTTGGAAGGCAGAGACCGAACCGGCGATGCTTCGCCGAAGCCTTCCTCCTTCTCGGAAAAACAGTCCGATAGCTGTAGCGATACCGCAGCGACATGGGTATAGTGATGATTCAACTCGACGGGATACTATGGATTGGGTGTAAGGATATTTTTCAGAGCGGAGTGTTATGCGGAGCTTTGGTCTGTATCATAGGACTCATCAAGATATACAATTGCACATACGTGTTATCGGCCACATGGCCATTCTCATACGGACGACTACGTGCACCTGCCACTATGATGCGCACTGGAAGTAACACCTATCCTCCCAATAGTATGCCTTGAGCCATCAGATTTCACTTCAATCCTGCTATCGTTCCGGACTCACTCGTCAGCTAGGGAGGTCTCCGGCGCATGAGTAGACAGGATGTCGCCAACCAACGATTGCTACCATATACTAGGAGTGTACGCTCCATACCAATCATCGTATAGACATGGCACGGGTAGAGAATTAAACTTTGTAGCCGCCGGTCAACTTCATCACACCCTCGGGGTCAACAGCAGCCTGAATGGCCTCAAGGCGAGGCACATTATCGCCGAAGAGTTGCTCGGCGGTCACCTCCTCCAAAGCATAGTTCGAGTATTGAAACGCGTTTGTGATGTTCTGGCCTTCTGTATCGGCAGCCGCGCGGATCGCATTTGTGGCGTCATTCTGCTGCGCGTGCATGAAGTCGTAGAGCGACGAGTTCGCGAACGAGAAGAAGACGTTCGTAGGACGAAGCGGCCTTGAACGGTCGGGAGGATATGCCGAGTCCGTCCCATGCATGTATAGGGTGTCGTCAAACGGCTCGACGTAGAAGGCAGTGAGGAACGTCGGGTCGTACTGCGCGAGAGATTGACCGTACGACTGAGACGATATGATTAGTCCTGCTGATGGCTTCCACACGAAGCACGAACTCACAATCGAGAGGTTCCGGAAGGTCTCGAGTAGGGTCGGCGTGTATTGGAGCACATTGACGCTGGCAAACTTGGCCGTGACATCTGGAGATATCGGAGCGATAGGGAGCTGCGCCTCGAGTACATCGTAATACGAGCGAGCACTGATGTCCGAAGAAGTGCGTGGGATGTCCAGCAGGCCAAAGAACGCATTGTCTGGCGGCGAGGGAGAGTCGTAGAAGACGGTGATGATCGAGTACGATGTCCCATTGCTGTATAGATATGCGGGGAGTATTGAGGCCTTGGTGTCCGTATTGTTTACGGCAAACGCCGCAATGGCCTTCGTAAGATCGTCGAAGTACTCTCCAGCAATCTGGATCAGACCTCCGTAGACGTCAGTCTGCAGGTGTATGAGATCAGTATCTGCGGGCATACAGTGTTGTAGGGCGGGTAGTTACCTGCGGGTGTGTAACAAAGGTGAACTTGGTCACGATGCCGTAGTTGTTGAAAGCGCCTCGCAGGGCAAAGAAGAGATCGTCGCCCGGAAGGACCGTAGTGATGGTTCCGTTCGGAAGTACAAGTTCGTAAGATGCAATGTTGTCGATTGCCGGGCCATACTGACTTGACTGAAACGTATAGCCTGCCACAATCCAGGTCAATGCCAGCCATAGCGAATGTGCGACGGCGCGGGCGTACCACCACCCAAGGTGAAACCAGCCACTCCAACTCCGGGCACACGACCACCAGGCGCATTGACACCGGTACCGTTCAGCGCAAGGTACACCTCATCCCAGATGCAACCGGCACCAACGTCGACAGTCGCCTTGTCATCACTCAACTTGATGTCCTTGAAGCGTGACATGGCGATCTGGACACCAGTGGTGGACGAGAAACCCTGGTTGGTAGCATGACCCCCACCCTTGATGGCGAAGGGTGTCTTGGTCGAACCAATAACCTTAATCTATTAAATTTGAATCAGCGGATGGCCTGGGCAAGTCATTGAGCGCACGAACAATGACAGCCACGTCCTCGACTGTTCCGGGTTCCACAGAACACGTCGCATTCAGTACACTCGATGTTGCCCAGTGCTCAATGTCGTTTGTGTAGTTGCTCGTGTTTGGGAAATAGACTGCCGAAGCACCAGAGATGGTGCCCGCAATTTGCTCGCATGCGTTTGCCGTAGCGTTCCGAGGGCGCGGCGGCGACGCCTGGGCAATTGTAATGGAAAAAAGCAGAGCAAGGGTCGTACAGAGCATTGTGCAGGATGAGAACCGCATTGAGACGATGGGTTTGTGCGGGCCTATCCCCGGCTTTATAAACACCCAGCGACTGCACGCAGTTAGCATAGAGTCATCCTAAAGCGCCTCAGACGCCCAGCTGGAGCCAGCTAACATACAGGACTCTGCTTCCACAAGGTACCGGCAAGTCCGCCCCGTTCGACTCGCCCCACGGGATTGTATACGCATGTCGTACGCGCTGTTCTTCCATCATTGTTGCAGCCTACAGTTTTGAATAAGCTCGGCCAACGTTGCCAATGTGTAAGCAAGGATAGGCGCCTGAAGTGCTGACCTGAGCACGAAACCTTGTGACGAGCGGTGAAGATGGTCTCAAAACTCAGCTCCGTCGCTCTATGTCTGAGGGTGAGATAGCTGAGCGGTACATTTCATGGAAAGCTGGAGAAAGGCTTTATGTGGAGGTATCTGCCTTGAAATTTCTCGCTTGAGAACGGCGGGCGTGAGAACGGATGATCACTCACCGTGAAGAAGTTGGGATGTTCGCGCCGATTGCCCGCGCAGGCCAAAAGTCACCAGAGGTTGGCGCTTCACAGCCCTAGATGTCGTAATGATGTATAGACGATGAGGTCGCCGGACACCCTATGACAGACATCCGACGGTCCTTCATCAACGCAACCAGGCATACATCTAGTGCCAGTCAGCCAGTCTGGTCCAGTTACCTTTCGCACAGTGCCGGACCAGCATGGATTGCAGATGTACCCTATTCAATCCAGTTTGACAGACACGAATAGCTGCTGGCCGTGTTTGTATTCCTGACACACCATCTGTCAGGTGGTCGTCGTATGCAAGCAGGCAACCATGGGAGTCTTCGGGCGTATTAGCATTCTAGGGCTTAGAGCCTGACATATTGGGTTTGGCAGACGTACCATCTGGGTATGGCACCCGACGGGCGCATCAGACCGTGCAGTAAGGCACGAGCATTTCACTGATGTTGGACACTGAGGTATAGCACGAGGACGACATAGAGCGGAAGTGTACAGTATCTACAATTGCAGAAACCTCGCTTAGGCTGCTGGATTAGCACCCGGATGCAGACCACAATCTCACAGCATTCCTGGGATCCAAGGCTCGTATCGGTTGGATATGTGCTTCTATACCATAGCCGGGCGTCCTTGTCAAGCCACTGGTCGTGGCACCCGCCAGAGTGAGGTTCGGAAGAACGCAAGGTGCCGCGTGTCCATCTGATTCAATAGTTTGATTATATTTTTTTGCTGATACTATTCCAGTATAGCCCGCCTAGCTCAATCGGATAGAGCGTCAGACTCTTATCAGGCGGGTTTGTCTCACTGAAGACATCTGAAGGCTGCGAGTTCGACCCTCGCGGTGGGCTAATATCTTTTTCGCGCCTTAAGTATCTGCACCACTGAATGTTCACGTCCTTCAGTAGTAATATCGACAAGCCCAACTCTAACTTCTTTCCATGATACTTTCCCACTTGGTTTGTGTAGTGTATCAGATAGTGATTCATTACAGGAATGCAATATATATTTCGAGTTAACACCATAGAGCATCTCAGTGATCCGTCTCCTCCCACGTCCGTCCCACTGTTTTGACGAGGTCGGCCTCGGTGACAGCCTTGCCGCTGGTAAAGTACCCCGCAGCGATCTTCGCGTCAATCTCGACGCGTGAGTCCATCGGAATGAGATGGTCCGGAAGGTCATAGCGCTTGATAATTGGGATACCAGACTGCACGATTGCGTTGTACTTCCTATGCGTCCATCAGTATTGTCCGCATAAGAGATATGGTAAGGGAAATGTACGCACATGTCGCTCATAGAAATCATGTTGTCAATCTTGCGGATGCCCAACCAATGCAGCACATCGGGCATGAGCGCCTGGAACCGCATGTCTTTCACACCAGCAACAAGCTCAGTTGCACGGAAGTACTTGTCCGCAGAGTCACCGCCACGCTTGCGGAGGTTGTAGACGAGGTACTTAGTGACCTCTCCAAGCGCGCGGCCCTCTTTGCGGAAGTACACGACGACACCGACACCACCGCGTTGGGCAGTGCGCACACATTCTTCGATGGCGAAGACGAGGTAGGGCTTGCAGGTACAGATGTCAGAGCCGAACACGTCCGATCCGTTACATTCATCGTGGACGCGAAGGGTCAACTCCTTGCTCTCGTCGTACATGTATGATGCCGGACCAACTGCAAGGCAAACAAGCGGACGTCAGTACGAACATTCAAACGTGTGCAGGATGAAGGGTGGAACGTACAGATATACACCGTCATACCACCGATAGGCGGTAAGAAAACCTTGATATCCGGGCGTGTGATAAGCTCGGGGTACATTCCTCCCGTATCTTCGAACAACGCGCGGCGGAGTAGGCCCTCTGAGCTGCGCGACGGTGGTCATATAAGCGTAGGAAAGCTAGAAAGTAGGCGTGCGAAACGTACATGCCGAAACGTTCAGCTACACCAGGCAGATACCAGACGGGCTCAATGGCAGCCTTGCTGACCGTCATCTCGACACCGGGGTCAGCGGTGCTCGGTGTACCATCAGGGTTCAGGAGTGGCACGGATTTGAGCACGATCTTGCCGTCGATGGTGATTTCGCCGCGACGCGAAGACTCGTCGATCTCAGATAGCTTGATGTGCGCTTTCGTCACCGCGATGCTTGGACGAATGTCGAGACCAGAGTCGGTCTCTGCCTTAAAGACCTGAGGTGTAAGATGTCCCCATGGGTCAATCGACACGATCTTCTTCGGGTCAGACCAGGCAGGCTGAGGCGGGATTGCGACGGGCGGCTCAGTACGTGAGTAGTCGGGCTTGTGCGTCGGGACTAGCGTGCCCATAGCGATAGACAATGCGCGGTAGATCGAGTATGAGCCCGAATGAGCGCCGATCGCGTTACGGTACTTGAGCGAGGACGGCAGACGCGACACTATCACGGGACCGCGCTTGGTGGCATCGGCATCACCCCAGTTAAGCGGGTGCGGCTTCATCCCGTGCTGGTCCGGGTACGCTGCGAGGCTCGCGTTAGTCGCGTGTTCTCAGCAAACACGTTTCATGGATATCCTTACTGGTGAGCATGACACGCGAAGGGTACAGCAGCTTCTCGCGTTCCCTATCGGATATAATCTTACCCTCCGCCCCGCCGTCCGCTTTCACGGTATTGGGCAAGGACGTCGGCGCGGACGGAGGTGTCGCGCTTGCCGCCGAGGGCGGAAGGGAGCTTAGCGTATGCGATGGACTTGCGACGCCATACGCGCTGGCCGGGCGCAAAGGCGGTGAAACCGGGTTCTGTATCGCGTCGAGCTAGACCGAAGCGCGATTAGCAGCTTACCCGCTGTGGCACCACGCTCTCATAACGCACCTTGGCTTGAAGAGCCTGCTGCGAGACTTGCAGGGACTCTAGCCTGGACAGAATCTGAGTGAGTATTGCATCGTTCGCGATCGACATGGTGGAAGGAGGAGAGGAGCGTGCCAGACGCCAGGCAGCTATCTATCCGGTACACAGCGCCGAGGGCCGAGGCGCCGAGCGCGTGCCCCTATCTCATACCGCCGATCACTTTCGAGCGCTTTATCTCGCCCTCCGCCTTTAGATGCGTTCAGCGTGCGCGTGCTGCGAGATAAGTGTGCGGTATAAGATGGTATTTCATTGCGCGGGTGCAGCTAGTGGTAATACAAACCATGCAGATCGTGGAAGCGTAACAACGAAAACACGAGAGATGACAGATATAAACAACAAGAAAGGATGATCGCGAGCAAAAGACGGGATGAAACGAAGAATATACGTATGCACCGTCCAATCGTCCAGAAATAAACAGCAACCACACACACCCTTTCACCTCTAGTCATCACCGCGGCCCGGGCTCGCAGCACGGCTCCGCGGCGGGCTGACAGCGCGAATCGGACTCGCAGCGCGTGAGCTACCCGGACTGAGCGGGCTACGCAATCCAGACGGGTCGTCAGCCCAGCGCACCGAGCGCGCAGGACTACTCGTGCGTCTTTCGTTCCCAGGCGACGACGCTCGTAAGCTATCGATCCTTAGATGGCGGACAGGCCGTGAATGCGCGATGTTAGGCCGCCCACGCTCCTCATCAGCCTCATCCAGGCGGCGCAAACTCGACGCGCTCGCCGTCTCGTGCAGGCTACCCCGCCTGGACGGGTCTTCCTGCGGTACGGATGATGATGACGATGACTCTTGGACGCGGATCGGTGGAGGCGGCGCAGGCCGGCTGCTCTTCAACGTCTGTGGCGTCTTGTGTTTGCGCTGGCCCTTATGCCTCACCCCGACGGGGACGACTCGGGTTTTCTTTTTCTTGCGTCCGCGCCCATCGCTGCTGTCCGACGCCCATTCTCCTTCTTCCCCCTCAGCGGTTGCCGGAGTATTCGGAGTATTAGGAGTGGACTTGCTCCCCCCGGAATTGCGCGAGCTGGTGGGCGAGACCATATCCTCCGCGTAGTGCACCGCCCGTGCGCCCTTCTCAGCGGCAGCATGGCCCGCACCTTCCGCAGCGTGCTCTGCACCCTCTGCCGCGTGCTCAACGTCTGCAAAGATATGTTCTGCAGCCTCGCCTGCTGCACTGAGCAGTCCACGGACGGCCGTACGGATGTTCACATGTTCCGGGTTGAAGCGCTTGAAGATGGACTCGGTAGTGCCCGGTCCGAACGCATTGCGCTGGATTTCAACGTCGACCTGCGCAGTCAATATTAGACACCAGCATGGTAAAAGCATGTATAGCCAAGACATACCTCTTCTCCCGGTCCATGACGGCGCTCAATGACCTTGTGCGGACCCTCCTTCCACTCCACAACCTCATCTTCACCCTCATCACCATCCGGCGGGTTGCCCGCACCGAACGTCTCGCCCTTTGCATCTCGCTCTGCGTCGTGTTCGTCCTCTCTCCTCTCCTTCTTCTCATCCTCTGCACTCCTGGAGCTCGTAGGCGTTGCACTGCCCTCCTTCTCCTTTTCAGCATCTGCAGCGGCGGTAGCGCTCTCTATTGGTCCAAGCTCGCCGCGCTCTGCGGCGTCTACGTCGTCGCGATTGATCACGATGTCTTCGCCTCGTGTGATGGGCCGCGTGTGCATTGCCCAATCCGGGAGCGAGGGTTGGCGAGACCATGTGCGAGTGACGGTATGTACGCGGCGGCCGAGGGAGAAGAATGGAATAGACAGGCCGTGGACGACGATAGAGACGACAACCATGAAGGCTACGATCGGCTGTATCGTCGCTCTTGTGAGCTGTGCCGAGCCCACTGGCGGCTCCTCCGCCTCAGGCAGCTGCTGGGCCGCGAGCGTCGAGATGAAGATGGCACCGATGCCCATGGGTCCAAAATGGCCGCTGAAAACCGCCTCACGCCAGTTCTTAACGTCCGGAATCCATTTGTACAGGAGCAGTACAACAGGAAGCCGGCGGAATAAGAGGACGAGGATCGCAATGACGATGAGGCGCCAGACAGAGATGGAGAACTCCGGCGCGTCAAAGTCGGAGAAGGGCGTCCATGCGCCTACAAAGACGAATGCGGCGATGTTGAAGAGCAAGTCGATGACGCTGGAAAAGACGGCTGCTTCGGTTTGCTTGTTGAAGAAACCGTCCCAAGCAAAGGCTGTGCCGCACGCGAAGGCCGCAAGAAGATCATCCGTGCCGACCATAGTGCAGACGCCGATGGTGAGCAGCGCGAGTGAAACGTATTGTGCGACGTAAGACTGTCGGTCGATGAGATCCTTGCGCTCGCAAAACTTCATGAGGTATCGGAACCCGAAGCCTATGAGGGCACCGAAAACAACGCCGAATAAGATCTCGTAAAGCCACAGGATGAGGAACCAATCCTTGATGGCTTCTCCAGTTGTGGTGTCGAGGAGTAGGTAGAGGGCGATGTACAGGAAAGGGAATGCCGCGCCGTCGTTGCATCCCGACTCGGCAGCGAGTAGATGCCGCAAATGTGCAGGCACATGTTTGTCCGCGTATTTGCCACCAATGACGGCGGCGGCCAAGATTGGATCAGTAGGCGTCAGGCAAGCAGCGATGGTGAGCGAGGCGAGGAAGCTGAGGTCCGGGATCAGGGCGTAGATAAACGCAGCCGAGACAAACCAGCCCTGTGGACAGAGGGTCAGGCTTATTCTTGGCAGGGCATAGACGAGTGGACAAGAAAGTACTGAACGTACCCAGGTCATGATAGGCCCCAGGAGCATGGCTAGACTCTGCCAATGCTTTTTCATGTACTGCTTTGGCAATTCGACGCCTATGGCGAAGACACCGATTGCAAGCACAACACGCGTAAACTCGAGCGTTATCTCATTCACAACTTCGTCGTCGCCATTTCCCCAATTTCGAGGATCGAATATGTTCGCGCCGTATGGTCCTGCAATGAATCATGGTCAGCATCAGAGCATCGATTGTGTGGCGCCTAGTCGGGCCGAGAAGACGCGGCGAAAGCAAAGCACGGGCTTAGGCGGCTCAGGTGAAGCTTGGTGCTCCAAGACCCTACTTGATGAGAAGAGCGTAGCACCAATCTTGATGGCACGAGATGAGGCGAGGGTGGGTTCTGCGAGTGCGAACTTGCAGCCTATCTGCGCGCGGTGTCCACCCGGTTCCCGCAGATGGAATCCGCTCGGGCGCTTCGGTGACGAACCGTGACATTGGGCGCGCTGCCTGGGCGACATGCATTTCCTGGCCTCCCGGGGCTAGGATGACAATAGCCGGACGCAAAGGATAGTGTGCTCACCGATGATAACTCCGAACAGGAATGCCCAGCAAGCTTCACCAACATACAACTACGAACTGTATGAGTATACTATTCGAGAACTTCACTGGGCTCGGGGCGCACCTTTTCACGGATGAAGAGCGAGAACATTCCGAACTGCGCATTACGACGCCAAGGTCAGTGTGAAGTCTCGGAAGACGAGGCTTGCGACGCACGAATACGACAAAGCCGCCTAGACATGCATAGGCTATGTGAGGTATAGAAACCTCTGTCTGATGCGCGTATGAGTGAGCTGGATCTATACGTTACGAAACTATATGAACGCACCGGATGGAAGCGGACCATTGTTATGTTACACTACACAGAGGGGTGCGCGCCGTAGTGTAGCGATTATCAGCCTTATGTAGGGGTCGTATGCGCGGCGTCGGCTCGCGCGCGCTGGGATGTCGTGAAGGGCGTGAAGGGATAGGGCAAAGCCACGCTCGTGGTGGTTGGAGACCAAGATAAGGCGGCGGAAGGAGATGAAGGGCGAATTGTGTTTTGAAGACCCTCAGGCTCGGACTCGGACACACGGAACACGCTCAGCAATCGGTCGTGGCGCGCCAAGCTCTCGGCGCCAACTTCTTTCTTGTTCTTTGCTATTTCGCTTCGGTCCTGTGCATAGTGCACCGCATATGTTAGATGTAAATGAGCGCGCAGTCTACTAGGTGACAGTCATGAAGGGACATATATCTCTTCTAGGAAAGGAGACAGTTTGTTTCTGAAGGGCGAGACCAAAGGTGAGATGACGCGCGCAACAGCGTGCCTCGCGGCAAGCACAGCCGACTACCCCTAATTTTGCCACTCACTGCGGCGGGGAAGTGACGGCCATTGCTTCTGCCGACGGTTGTCCTCGACCACCACGGTTGGACTGTCTCCCTGAATGGAACCCAGGGCTGGCTTCTCAATGGCGTATAATGCACGGATGGACCGCAAAACCTACCTTGAATGAAGTGGGTCGTCGCCAACAAGCGCGCTGACTCTTCCACGGCCCTGCGCCCACACCAACCCCCATCGTCGCCGCGATACCCACCTGACCGATCCTCGCATTTTCTCCCCTTTGATTCGCTGTCGCCATCGCCTAATAGGCCTTCTAATCACACCCGTGGCCTACCCCGTATCGTTCCAGATACACGCTAAAGCAGCTCTTTCTCTTCCAATATATTCCGTGTATCGTACTGTTGCAGGGTCCGCAGCAACCTGGCCTGCCTCGCGTACGATGTGCGTTTCTAAAACAGGCTCCTCGGCCGCCCAAAACCCACCCATATCCGATCTCCGCGCGTGTACGGGTGTCTATACGTCCTCCAGGCGTATAACCGGCCTTTGTCCCGCGCCGCGCGGCTATTGACAGTTACCTGCAGGATCCAGCGCCGAAAAGGGCTGCCTTGAGGCGTACCCGAGGCGCTGAGCATTAGTAAGGACTATATGTGAAGCGACGAACGTGCGCACGGCGGCAAAGGTTTTGGGAGGAGGGGTTTACATCTGATGTGAGCCTCGTGTCGCAGGAGCCACACCATCTTCACGAAGTTTATCCCGGATCGGGACTATGGACGGTTGTTTATTCTTGTGGCCTGGGCGTTACGCCTCGTGCGGATGTGCCACACCGAGCATGTGCGAGGACTGGCTGTGGCTCGATGCGAACAACGAACCTAGGTTCATTGGTGAGGGATTTTCGCCAATCGCCATTGCCGCCGGAATGGTACGCATCCGGCAGTTATCCAGGCACCGGTCACAACATGCAATGGGCCCTCCTGCGGCTGGCGAGAAGCAAGCACGTCCTGGTCAAGGGCATCGAGAAATGCCGACCAAGAATAGTAGCCCTTCTCTAGCGTCTCGGCATCGTCTCGGGTTTAAAGATTCACCGCCTCGTGCTTCTTCATTTGCTCGCACCAGAACCGCACGATTTCCAAGCCCTCGATCGATACATATCGACAGCATTGAGGTATAGATGACGTGTATTCATCCTGCGATGCCTGAGCACCCGGGCAATAACGTAGACCAAAAAAATTCGCCTGTAGTTCTTTAAACCGACAAAAATACCATGCTGAAAGTCTCTTTACCCTTGGGCCGATACCCTCGAAACTCAACAGACCTCCCGACAGAAACCAAAAGAACTAATTGATCTGACCCAGGACCAAGTCCCAGCGAGCCGACTAACATTCCTGACCAAAAGTACTGGCGCTGCCCATTGGCTGGATTGAACAACCGACCTCACCATTACGAGTGGCGCGCTCTACCACTGAGCTAAACGGGCTTCAAGCCTAAGCGTGGAGTAACATTATGACGTCAGTAAGACACAGAATCACATTATATTGTATCTCATACAGATCAAGAATCGGTTTCTTGACCTACGTATCTATCCCTGGACTTCAGAGACGCTGACCGAGACTGCTTCGTAGTAAGACGGCTGCAGTATTGGCTCCAGCGATGAGATTTCGTTCTCCGCGGCCATATCCCCTGGCAGATGTAGCGTTAGAGTTCCTACCCGAGCTTGGCGCACTTTCACCAAGTTCGTTAGACGCTGGAGCCAGTCCGGTTTATCCCTTAGATCCTTTGTTCGTGCATCTATCACGATGTGTGAAAGCGAAGGTAGTACGAGACGATCGCCAGGATTGACCGTTTCCTTCGCGTCGCCGACTGGTCCGTTGCCAAGAGGACATAAGGTGCCCAGGAGGACGTCTATCGCACCGGGTCCAATCACCAGTGTGCGAACGTTCGTGGCTTGACGAAGTAACTCCTTCACCCCATCTCCTGCCGTCGTGGCAATCGCATGGATGTGCAAGTGCGCCAGCTCGCCGAGATGTAGTTGTGCAGGATCAGACACAGCTTCAACAACTTCGTCCAAGGCTGCGGCCTTCTCCTCGTGCTCCTCCGCTGGGTCCATCCCGTAACGGGAGACTCCGACAAGAAAGTCGCGTGCGAGACGTGCGCGGAGCGTAAACGTACGCGTAGCCTCTGAAGAAGGAGAGGCACACATTGGAGTTGTCGGCGATGTAGGGATGTCGGGAGACAACGTGACGGCACCAGCCTCTTCGTTTTCAGGTGCGAAGATGAAACGCGCAGCCCGTGGCCGACGAATGTAGAGCGAACATCTGTCGGCTAACTCTAGCAATTCTGGGCCTCCTCGAACGATGAGTGTCACGGAGGCTCCCTCGGGTATCACCAGCGAAGATAAGAATGTCGCGCAGTCTTCGTAGCTGTACAGGTTTTGCACTGTGACTGAGTGACATGACTGGGACAGAACGATCTTGGTGTCCGGAGTTCGACCCGCGTAGTCGGGAAACACATCCCCGAGGTGAAGAACCTCCAAGTTGGCCATGGCCTCGAGGGTTTTCTTGAACGCCCCAAGTTTCGGCGGGCGCCAGTATTCATCGGGCTGAAGATATGTGTCCAACACGATCTTGAGATTGGTGACATTGAGGAAAATGTCAGGGGTCCATGGTAGAACGAAGTTGAGAAGATCGACGGTCCTGAGTTCGGGTGCGCCGCGAAGAGACGAGAGAACGAAGACCTCCTTCTTTGGAGTCGCCTCGTCATCATATAGTGGCTCGGGATCCAGCAGTGCGTGAAGGCGAAGATGACGAAGGTTCGGGAGGAAAAGCTTCAGCTGCCGGGCAACACATCGCGACGCCTCGTAGCCTTCGCAAGTGAAGTCGAGGGAGCGCATCCGAATGCTGGCATAATGAGATAACCAGAGCCAGAGAGCCTCGTCCGCGTAGTCGTTGGTCACAAGACTAAACTGTAGGTCGAGAGGGACATCATCGGCGCGTTCAATGATGAGGGGAGTCCATGGAGCGGGTAGTCTAGGCGCTTCTACACCCGAAGACCATAGCGAGTTACTGAGCGCGACCTGTTGACGACGGTGAGCAACCGTATGAACGACTGGCGTCGGAGAAAACCTACAGATCGCCAGAACCTGGACACTTGCGATACCTCTATCATACCCAGTCCACCGCGAGGACCAGCAGGATCTGCACGCCATTGACGTTGCAACTCGGCGAATACTAGAGTCAAGACCTCTACGGGCAGGCGCCAGGAAAGCTGCGAGCCTGGCTCAGCATCAGATGCATTATCGGGCATACTGTGTTGACCAGCAGCTGGTGCACAGGCCTTCCGTCCAGATCAACTGAATATCGACGTGGAGGCAGGAAGAGAGAGGGTTCGCGTCATTGCATCGGCACTCCGCTCAATTTCGGCTGACGTCAAGCTAGGTCCTGCCACGGTGAAAGATCATGCGAGAGATTCATTCCATCTAACTTAAGGGACATAGAGTACAGAGACAAACGGTACAGTACGAGATGAGGAAACATGAGAACGCAGCCGTAGACGAGTGATGTGAGCAGACCGGTAAGTACTATACTGAGATGCGATGCGACAAGCGAGATACCATGCAGAAGATGTACAAAACAGGGAGTGAACGCAGACGACAGACAGCAATGACGAGACGCTCAACCAGAGCACATCACGCACGCCTCCTTATTGTCGATGGAGCACTGAAGGCGCGCGGCTTCCTGCTCGAGCTGGCGACGCAATGCCTCGGCGTAGTCAGGGTCGCGGGCAGCGGCCGCGCGCTGCTCGGCCGAGAAGCCGGCGAACTCATCATCGGCTGCAGGTGCGGGTACAGGCGTGGTGGACTCAGAGCTCGCCTCCGAGGGCGTGACGGGCGTCTCAGGCGGTGGCGTAGCCATACCCGAGTTCACGGTCGTGGTCTTGACGATCGTACGAGGCTGGAGTGCCTTTGGTGCCGGCTCCGGCGAAGGCGCAGACACAGTGGCAGCGACGACCGGTGCCGCGGGTGCAGAGGTTGACGCGGCTGCGGCCTTCTGCTCGCGAACCTCCTTGACCAGTGCATGGTCGAGGGTGAACTGGATGGCCTGGGCAGCCGGGCGCGTGCGAAGGTAGTACATGCCGGTCTTGAGGCCCCTCTTCCAGCCGTAGAAGTGCATGGACGTGAGTTGGCCGAGCGTGGGCGCCTGAAGGTGGACATTGAGGGACTGCGACTGGCAGATGAATGCACCACGGTCGGCAGCGAGGTCCAGGACCTTCTTCTGGGAAATCTCCCAGACGGTCTTGTAAATTGCCTTGACTTCGCGCGGAATTTCAGGGATCGACTGAACGGAACCGTTGTGCGCGATGATCTTGTTCTTCATCTCGTCGTTCCAGAGCTTGCGGTCGACGAGCTCGCGAAGGAGCCACGGGCAGACGACCTGGAACTCGCCAGCGAGGACGCGACGAGTATAGATGTTGCTGCAGAGGTGGTCAGACATATGAAAGCAGCGCTGGACCAACATAGAACATACCTCGTGTAGGGCTCGAAGCACTCGTTGAAGCCAAGGATCTGGCTGGTCGACGCGGTCGGCATAGGCGCTACAAGGAGCGAGTTGCGAAGACCGTTCTTGGCAACCTTCTCCTTGAGCGACGCCCAGTCCCAAAGGTCAGACGGCGTCACACCCCACAGGTCGAACTGGAGCTGGCCCTGGCTGGCGGGAGATCCCTCGTACGTCTCGTAAGGTCCTTCGATGATAGCCATCTCCATACTCGCTTCAACTGCAGCGTGGTAGATCGTCTCGAAGATCTGAATATTGAGCTTGCGTGCCTCTTCGGAGTCGAAGGGGAGGCGGAGGATCATGAAGGCATCCGCGAGACCCTGAACACCGAGACCGACGGGACGGTTACGCATATTCGAACGCTTCGCCTCTGGGACGGGGTAGTAGTTGGCGTCGATGACACGGTTCAAGTTGAACGTAACGACCTTGGCGACGTCGTGGAGCTTCTGGAAGTCGTAGACGCCGTTGCGGATAAACGACGGGAGGGCCAGGGACGCGAGGTTGCAAACCGCTGTCTCGTCAGGTGTCGAAACCTCCATGATCTCCGTGCAAAGGTTGGACGACTTGATGACGCCGATGTTCTTCTGGTTCGACTTGCCTGCAACGATGATCAGTATCCTTTCATATGAAGTACAAGCATCGTTAACATACGGTTGGCGTGGTCCTTGTAGCAGATGAAGGGGTTGCCGGTCTCGATCTGAGCATCGAGGATCGCATACCAAAGCTTCTGGGCGGGAATAGTCTTGCGTGCACGACCCTCGCGCTCATACTTCTCGTACAACTCCTCGAACTCGTCACCGTAGCAGTCCGAGAGACCAGGAGCCTCATCAGGAGAGAAGAGCGTCCAGTTCCCATTTTGCTCAACACGCTTCATGCTGTGGATACATGTGAGTCAATGCTGAATAACTCATGACGCGAAAACACATACAAAAGATCAGGAACCCAGAGAGCGTAGAAGAGGTCGCGGGCGCGGACCTCTTCCTTGCCGTGGTTCTTGCGGAGGTCGAGGAACTCGAAGACGTCGGCGTGCCACGGCTCCAGATAGACAGCGAAGGCGCCCGGGCGCTTGTTGCCACCCTGGTCGACATAGCGAGCGGTGGCATCGTATGCGCGGAGCATAGGGATAATACCGTTCGAGTAGCCATTCGTGCCGGCGATGTAAGCACTATTCAAATATGTCAGCGGATGATAGAAGAATAGTGGAGGCATAAGGACGAACCCCGTGGAGCGAATGTTGTGAATGTGAAGTCCAATACCACCAGCGCTCTTCGAGATCATAGCGCACTCCTTGAGGGTGTCGTAGATGCCTTCGATCGAGTCGTCCTTCATCGCAACCAAGAAGCACGAGGACATCTGCGGCTTGGGCGTGCCGGCAGCGAAGAGTGTCGGGCTAGCGTGAGTGAAGTAGCGCTGCGACATCAAGTTGTAGGTCTCAAGAGCACGCTCAATGTCAGCGCCGTGAATGCCAACTGCGACACGCATGATGAGGTGTTGGGGACGCTCAGCGACACGGCCATTGATGCGGAGCAGGTAAGAGCGCTCGAGAGTCTTGAAGCCGAAGAAGTTGTACTGGAAGTCGCGCTCGTAGATGATAGCGCTGTCAAGTACTGACGCATTGGCCATTACGACATCGTAGGTTTGCTTCGAGATCAAACCAGCCGCCTTGCCAGTCTTGGGGTTAACTACCGCAAGCGTGAGTTGACGCTCCAGGCCAACATAGAGCTTAGACATACCATATTCGTACAGATCCTTGATTACATGAGAGAAGTTCTTGCGGGTGTCCTTGTGCAGGTTGGACACAGCGATGCGGGCGGCGAGTACAGCATAGTCTGGGTGCTTAGTGGTGAGGTAGGCGGCGGTCTCAGCGGCGAGGTTCTGGACCATTCGAGTCAGTACACGCAGAGGGGATACGCATTACGCCAGGGAAACGCACATCAAGCTCGCTGGTCGTCACGCCATTGTAGACGCCCTGTACCACCTTCTGTGCCACCCTGTACATGAAATTGGATATTGGGCAACATGCAGAGCAGACTGACGACGCACTCCACAGGGTTTACGTGGTCATTATCGAGACCGTAGCAGAGCTTGGAGATCCGCGAGGTGATCTGCAGATGATGAACATCAAACACGAGTTGAACGCGCCGCCGAGCTCACCTTGTCGAACTGGACGCGCTCCTTGCGCCTATGGGTAGAGTTAGCAAGCTCAAAGGTCTGCACACGGTCGAAAGATTAGTCGCGTACCCATCTAGAGGAAGTGGGTCAGTTACAAGCTACGGTTAGGACGCGTCGGCCCGCTCACCCCGCTTGAAGACGAACGATGCCATTGAAGATTATGAGTACAGGTGAGAAGGAGGACAGTCAGATGAGAGTAAGTGTATCGCGCTAAGGGCGGAGGAGGCAGGGATGGTGGTGGGCAGAGGAGAGGTGCGGGTCCAGGCGAAACGCGCCCATCTCGCGCGAGATATACGAAAAGACACGCGCACG